GTTGGTTATTTAACGACGCTTTCAGTATGATTAATGAATGTGAAACAGTTGGTGGAATCAGAATTGTCAAGTGAAACCAAAGTACTCGGAGAAGACCCGCCCCAATGCCATATTCCCCACCATTAATCCCACATGACCTAACCCGGAATCGAACCCTGACCGCCAGTGTGAGAAGCCGGTGACTAACCGCATGAACTATGACACGGACCTTGTCTTTTTTAACTATTATCAGTAATATTATTATTAGACGTTCGATATGCTCTCCATTAGTTACGCTACAAATATAAACGCAGTATTCGAATTCTTCCCATGTACGCTGCAACTGTGACTCATCGACGTTTGCTACGCCATGTGAAATTCCCTCTCGAAGGGAGTGTAGCTTCGGAGGTTGGTATACCTGGTCTTTCACATATCCCCATAATTAGAAGTTACATGGAGTGAGGTGCAGAGATCTAAGAGGCCAAGGAATTATATCTGCCCGTCTTATCCAAGCCTTCTGTATTTGAGAGGCCATTCCTTTTTGATAGCGATCGGAGCGCCACTTGCGGCTGATATGTAGTAATCAGCGTTTCCAACTAAAAATTAACGAGTTTCCTTGTTGTTATACTGTTGTTTCATGTTTATATCTACAACCGTTTCGAAAATACATTATTCTCTTACACCCAAATAATTTATAATAGACCTATGTATTGCCTCGGGGTAAAGCGGCCGTGGTGTGAAGCTAGCGCCGAGTTCAAGAATAGTGGAGCTATACCTCCACTCTTGCAATTGTCTACATGGCATACTGCTTAATTATCTAAGCAGAGGGACAAATTTACCTTTTCTTTACCTGTACTTTTACTCTACTTTTGGTGATATATGGATATGTGTGGATGGACGGACAGAAATATGGGTGGGTAGTTGTATGTCGCGTCCCCATTTTTCGTCAGGATTCGACTAACGACCCCTGCCTTGCGATAACCCCTGCACATTCAGCTCATGTGCATGCCATACACTATCCAGTGCGCACGCGTGTGCTGAGGTGCTACAGTGAGCGCTGTTCGACCTTGTGACCTGCCCCTTGCTTACTGCACGGCAGTTTAACTAGATGTATTCGGTTACTGCAAGTAATTTATATGAGAAACTAGACAACATCCGGCTAGTACCTGTGTGAGAGGGACAGAAAGAGGCATTCGGCAGCATGAGTAAGGTGGATGGTAGATTTCATACAATGTGATGGATTGCCGGTAGATTCATGGATGGGTGGATTGATGGATGAGAATAAAATTTATTGATGTAATTAAATTAGATCATAAAATGGCCGTCAGTTGTGCCAGTTTTATTTAATTATCATTTATAGAAATTTAAATACCGTATTCACAAATTAGTAGACCACTCTGTCCAGTTTGGACACTAATTAAATAACGCCATTAAATTTCATTCAGGATTCCAAGCAATATATTGTATAAAAGGATTAGTCCTTCAGCTCACCCATTATTTTCAGCAGACGGACGCATGAATGGATATGGGAAAGCTCGAAATACGTCATACATTTTTCTGAAATACCTCTAACACAGAAATTAGGCCAAATCTATCCTTTTCAAATCAGTTCCATCAGGAAGAAGTCAGTTCCTATGTAGTGCCGGCTTTCTGAGTAACAAGGGCATGAAGATGATATCAAAACGTTATTTAAATTTGTTTTCTTACATTCGACTTCCAGAACAAGAATCTATACATCTATACATCTATGGATCTATACATCCACTTCCCATACGCATTCATGGCGTAGTGCTTAAGTCTTTGAGCACAAGGACAACTTTACCTTGCCTTACATTTTCATATCCTCACATGCCTCAGTTTCATTTTCTTTTGTCTCTTTTGTCTTGCTCCACCTTAATCCTTTCCTCTTGCTCTCCCTCCTCCATCTATTACTTCTTTACTTTATTCTCCCACCATTTTTTATCACTCCATCTTCTTCCCCTTCTCCTATTTTTCTTTTATTCTTCCTTTTCTATCTTCTTTTCCTTGTTTACCCATAACCTCACTCCAAACATAGTATGGGCTGTTCCGGTTGTTATTTGTGTCAGGTGATTGTTGTGTTTTCCATCTCCCGTCAGAGATCGCCACTAGGCCTATATCTATCTCAAAAGCCTTCATAAGTATCAAATGATAATCTTCTGTGTTACGTATTGTTAACACGTATGAATATCAGGGTTGATTTATGGCTGATAATTTCGACGCCACGACAAACTGGCCTCAAACTTTAACAGAGTGATGTTATGCATATAAATTTGATGTTATATGAGAATATAAGGCATTGGCTACCTCTTTTTATTATCTCCAGTGTTCATATCTTTGTTTTTTGTTTTCTGACGATGTAATTCCAAGATACTTTGTAGCAAAACTCTGATGCATTCCATTTCTTCTGTCTCTGAATTCGTGCGTGAACTGGAGTAAAACAACCCCAACACGTAACAAGAAGAACGGAAGAAGAGGTATGTTATTGTTGATGCTGTAAAGATAAGATCCAGGATAGGCTTAAGGAAACTAAAACCTGCCACAAGTCTACGCAGCAGTTCAGTTGCTTCAAGCAGTTTTCAAAATACTTCTTACTCAGCACTTGGATTTCAGTGCACACAAAAACTGGATGAAAAAAGAACTTGTCTTGGAGAGGGAACGAAAAGATTTATGAACACGTTTTGTCGTCATTCACCTGTTTACAAGAACATTAGGATTTTTGTTTTATGTTTTATGCTGTAGTTGGTACACCAAGCAACATTTGTACTCTTCACCATACACAACTGTAGATAATCTGCGGATAAGTGTGTGAACTGTACATGCTGATACTACATATTTCGTTCTGAAGTTCTTGTAATTGTTCCCATCACACTTCCATGGATCATAATAACAAATATCGGAACATAACAGGACCAGAATTTCTTCATCTCCAGCCTAATTTAGTTATTTATAAAGAAATATAGGCTTAGGGCCCTTGCAGTAGTTTGTACTTGCGTTTGATCCCGCTAAAATATGTTTTGAATCTTTGATTACTCTCTCTATCTCTCTCTCGTGCTCTATAGCTCTACACCCCTTTGGACCTTGGCCATTTTTTCGGTTTCTTAATCCTATACACAGACAGTAGGACTCCTTGGACGGGGGATCAACCATCGCATGGCCGCCGCCCACAAATAGAACAACACAAGCATAGAATAAACTTACACAGACATCATGCCGTGAATGGGATTCGAACCCAGTGTTCGAAAGGACGAAGATGGTTTATGGTCTAGACCGCGGCCACTGTCATCGGCTTTGATGACGGTCCAAAAAATTGAATATGAGCATCATGCCACTAGAGGCCGCACTAATATTGTCCCGTGAAATTATGAAAGGGGCTCGACACCTAGCTCCATTGATTATGGGCTTCTGGAATGTTGTGCGGACATTTCTTAAAATTGTGCAATTCATGTTGAAGTAATCGTTTTGTACGATGTAGGTCGAATATGTGGCGAACGTGGGACTTTACGTTTGATAAAGTTAACTGATAAATTATTCGGTGTATTAACAACAAGTTGGCTCAAGCAGTACCTCTTCTGGTTTGTATCCTGGAAGTGTTCAGTTCGAATCTCGACCGGAACTACAATCATGATGATTGAGATTCTTCGTGGTTTCCCTCAGTCCCTCCAGAGAATCCCAGGATAGTACCATTAATTATGCCATGTGTTCTGTCTTCCGCAAAGTAAGTACTTCTTCGCTTATCATTCGAAGAAGAATAACCTGAAATACTGATAGCATCGTTAAACAAGCCATAATTAAAAAAATATATTCGATGTGTTTGTGTGAAATTTTTGTACCGACTGGTCTATCCCTACTTCCTGACGCGGAAGAATTCAACCTACTGATGGGTCACATACGAAATCGTTGTCTCTCGCCCAATGTTGCGAGACAGAAATTTTGAAGGAAATTGTCAAGTTAACCGTTTGAAGCCTGAACTTATTGTAAATAAACCCGTGGCTTTAGTCCGCAAGCGAACTATACCAACCGAACGACCGCCGCTTTTCGGCGAAGTTAGTGCCGAATTTAGCGGATAGAGTGTGTCGCGTGGTCAGCGCAACGAATCCCTACGGCGCTTAATTTAGGTGTTCTATACCAGAGCCGCTATTTCCTTGAAATAGCTCCTCAATTATCCTCACGAGGCTGAATGGACCCCGTTCCATACCCACTACTTTTCAGAAAATCTTGTAGCGCTGAGAATCGAACACGGGATCTCTGGATCTGTAGGCAGGAACTCTGACCATTAGACCACAGAGGCGGTCAAGTCTTGTAAATGATATTTAAAAAGTAAGCTCCTACTCACAGGAAACGCCGTGTCTCCGTTGCAAAGATCAGTGTGTTAGTGTTAGTCAGGGAGATACTTGCTGTTTATTCTGACAATCAGTTTAAATCCATAAGCAGAGGCAGACTAAAATGGATCTTAGAGAGATAGCATTGGATGGTATAGATTGGATTGGTCTGGCTCAGGATAGAGACCAGTGGAGGGCTCTTGTGAGAACGGTAGCGAACCTTCGGGTTCCGTTAAGTGCTTGGAAATTCTTGAGTAGCTGCAGATTTGGCAGCTCCTCAAGAAGGGCTCAGCTCCATAAGTAAGTAAGTAAGAAGCAGGCCGCGCCATAGCTCAAGGCGTTAGTCGCTGGTTCCCACCGTGGCGACCCGAGTTCGATCCCGGGTCTGGTCAAATGGGATTTGTGGTGGACAAAGTGGCGCTGGGACGGGTTTTCTCCGAGTAGTTCGGTTTCCCCTGCCAATCTTCATTCCACCAAATTCTCCATCATCATAATCACCCGGGGCAGGTACAATAGGCCAATCAGTGGCCGTCCTGCCGAGTGGACCCAACTGGACTCCCCCCCCCCTACTAAGCGAATTAAAAAGAAAAGTAAGTAAGCAGAGGAAATCTGCAGATATTGGTGTATATTGCAGCCTCTGTGCTCCGGAGGTTTGGCTTCATATGTTCTGTTTTGTTGCAGGAGGACCTGCTGATTCATGGAGACAGTGTGTATGACATCATAGACAAGCAGGACCACCAGGCCATTCAGACGGAGCTGGTACGGAGTGCCACGGGGCCCGGGGACGAGGAACGTATATTCCTCTGCCGAATGAACGTGTCGAGGAACGCTCGCCGGCAGATGCGTTTCGGGGATCAAAAGGTACGCACAGGGAAGTAGGCAGAAGTCGTTGGGTAGTTAAGCGGGCGTTCCGCTACCTAGAACGTTAACTTTAGGGTGACGAATCAACAAGACCCTACGCTTAAACACATGAACTGGGTCCTTCTTGAGGAGCCGCCAGTCGCTGGAGAACCTCCCAGAATTTTATGGAACCCGAAAGTTCATTACTGTGTTCACAGGAACCCTCCACTGGTCCCCATCTTGAGCCATATTAAATCAAGCCCATAACACGCCATCCTATTACTCCTAGATCCATTTTAATATTATCGACCAACCTACGTCTTAGTTTTCCTAGTGGTATCTTTTCTTCTGGATTTCTCACCAAAATCGTATATGCATTCCTCTTCTCCTCTACGCAAGCTACATGGTCTGTCCATCTCATCCTCCTTGACTTGATCATTCTAATTATATTTGGTGAAGAGTGCAATTATGAAGCTCCTCATTATGCATATCCCTCTAACCGTCTATTATTTCACCCCTCCTTAATTCAAATATTCTCCTCACCACCCTGTTCTCAAACACCCTCAGCCTATGTTCCTCCCTTGAATTCAGAGACCAGGTTTCACACTCATACACATAGAACACACATATAGAAGATATTCATTGTTTTATTTGTCAACACAATAGATGGGGTTGCTGTCTAAGATGGCATGTTTCGGCAGATATACAGTATCTTCAGGTCCTGTCTGTAATTTACAGCTAACGCACGTATCATATACTTAGCTTAAATTTACATGTAAGCAGAGTGGGTCCGCCTGTTTGTCGTATAGTATATTACTTATTTCAGGCGACTACATACTATATTATATACCATAATCGGCTCGCTCGTTTATTAACATTGGTTAAAACTTTTACATGATTTTGAAGGTTTCATGTGAATCTCTAGGATAAGTAAATCTGATTTAAGTGACAACGACTCAACAAGTTTCATAGAATATTCTATAACGAAAATCCGGTCAGCAAGTCTCGGGTTTAAATATGTGGACAGACGGACAGACACGTTGAACGTTGTTATATAGCTACCCATCGAGGCCAGTTTAAAATCCCACTATTGGGGTATACAAATAAAATTTCTGGGTGTCCTGTACTCTGGCGTAAAACGGTTCAGTACGTTTAGACTTCCCCTCGAGTACATGATAGTGTGAGCTTCCCCTATGGTCAGTGAATGCGATGCAAAGAGAATGTTAAACAGTCGCATTAAAAGATAGGTGAGAGGTATTGGACAGTTTGTGGGTGGTTTACGTTCTGGTATGGCTGTTCGCGTTTGGGTTGCTACCGTAAGTTTCATAGAGTGGTATCTGAAATGAGTGAACATATTGTGAAGCATATGGCCATTGCTAGACAACGGCTCGATAAACACATCTCAGAGCATAGCTCTAAACAATAAAATGACATCTATTGCTAGGTAACGGACTAATAAGCACGCAATCTTGACAACAGAAGACGGTGTTTTCTGTGGAGTCCGTGCTGAGGATTTATAAATATTGCAGAACAGAGTGGGAGATCAGAATTGAGGGAGTACAGCAGAGTAATGGAGGAGTTAATTTGGAAGTCAGAATAGTGCCGTGGAGTGTCCAGTCGGAAGAAGATAACAGTGTGTCAGGTAGTGATTTGTGAAGTGTTGGAACCAGTTATATAAAGGTTCAATAAATTCGATCATTAAATCCTAAAACCCTATCTTATTAGTCACGCAAATCCCGGATACGTGACAATATTGCTTCGTACAGAGTGCCCCCCCCCAAATGAATATGCTTGCCACTCTTTATTGGAATATGTCATGTTATTCATACATTGTAGGCATTAATTTGTATATGGCTTCGTCATAATATTTAAGCGAATCTCTTGCTCGTAAGTCCACGGAGCGAAATAGTTGTTGAGAACGTCGGTTAGCCAAGCAGTTCCCCGCATTTCAAGGAACCCCTAAGAAAAGCCCACTGTTAGACCTTGTGGCCCACTGGCTTTGCGGCGACTGAGTTTACTCCACTTCTTCATGCTGTTTTCTTTAATATGTGTTTGAGTATTATCTTCCGACCTATGACTAGGTCTACCAAGGAACATCTTATGGAATTTAATTTATTTAAGGATTTTTATATATTGTCATGTGTAGGGGCGACTTATAAGACGGGTTTTGGATTTGATTTATTGCACCTTATATATTCACAACTTGGGACCTTGGGACTATAGGTAATAGAGCGTTATCGCTGGTTTACATACTTTACGATTCTCAGCCTTCAGTAGCCGTATCTTGGCAACGGATTTATAACCATCTCACTGTAACTTTAGATCACACATGAACCCCGTGTGGAGGCTGGTTCATACATCTCGACATCAGCCCTGCGAAGCGTAAGAGGCGACGAAAGGGAACCCAATGCCTGGGGGTATGACTGGACCACTCTGTTCCTTGGTGATATAAGTAGTGGGTCCTGGCCCTCCAGGTTGGGGGATCTCGAGTCTGAGACAGTAAAATGGGGTCATAAGTCCCGCCGGACTCGGACTTGAGAATGGTTGCACTGGCGATGGCGAGCAACAGTAGTAAAAAAAAAAACAGACCCACCCTCCAATCAGAAGGGATGTTACATGAGGATTACGTCCGCAAATGTTCAGTTGAAAAGAAATCTCTGGTCGTGAGTCTGAAGGGGCTTTGAATGGCGGTAAACCGTCAGTCGTAAAGTAAATCTGACTCTCTGACTCTAACTCAAATCACACATGAAGTCTCCTTTGCACAGTCTAATTCATTTAATGACATTTCTTCTTAATCACTTCCGACTGTCATCTCCAGAACTCGACCCAAATGAACACTTCTTCAAGTGAATTCTCTATGCTACTGAACACTTTTTATAACAACTATGCACTGGCCACGCAAGAAACACAGCTTCTATTGTTAAGGATGGTTGTTTATTGATCCGTTACCTAGCAATGGACGCCCTAATTTTGCGTGCGTTTGCTTCCGCGGGAATGTGATTACCAAGTCGTTGCCTATCAATGGGTCTGCGCATCATAGTATTTATTAACGTATTTGTTTTTATGTTAGAGTGTGTAAGACAAAATTTGGTTGAAAATCCTCACGCGGAAATTATCAGTTGGATAAGAGGTGTACACAGCAGGTATTAAAATAACGCTTTGTCAATATGTCAGCTGAACTAAGCTCTCACAGGAGAAGATTAAGTGACCGCTTCTTTTTTTCCCCTCCATAACTAAGGCCACGCCATAGCTCAAGTGGTTAGTCGCTGGTTTCCCACCGCGGCGACCCGGGTTCGATCCCTGGTCTGGTCAAGTGGGATTTGTGGTGGACAAAGTGGCGCTGGGTACTTCGGTTTCCCCTGCCAATCTTCATTCCACCAAATTTTCCATCATCATAATCACCCGGGGCAGGCTACAATAGGCCACTCAGTGGCCGCCGTACCGAGTGGACCCCATTGGACTCCACCCCCCACTAAGGGAATTAAAAAAAAACATAATTCCTCCATAACTATGACGAACCTTTGGGTTCAAAAAGCCCCTATGTCTCTATGACCTTAATATCAACTGTACAAAGAAGCCCCCCCCCACCTTATACATTCTGTGCCCCCACAGATGTCTTAAACGGCGCACTTCAGAGCGCGGTGGATAGTATAGGTACTACTTCCATTAACATTAAGAAAGTCCTGCATCTTACCCGAAGAAATTTGTGTGTATTTCTTATGATTCTCAGAATACACATCAATTATTACTTTAAATCACGTTAATCAGCCGGTGTTTAAAATACAAACGTAATATATTTCTTATGAGGTACGAACGGGTTTTGAATATTGTTTATGAATTTCAGTGCCGATCACAGTGGCCGCGCGGTCTAAGGCATGAACTGTCTTCGCTCGCTCGAACGCAGGCATCGTGGAATCCCACTTGAGGCATGGATGTTTGTGTGCGTCTTTTTTTGTGTGTTTGTGTTTCCCTGTGTATAGGTAGCGGTCTTGCGGCGGGCTGATCCCCATTCCAAAGAGTCCTACCGGCTGTGTAAAAAAATAAACAAAACTGAAAAGCGGCCTAGGTCCAACAAACAGCTGTAGAGCCATAGATGGATGAATTTCGGTTTTAAAGGGGTTGATAAGCAATACGTTGTTGGCCTTCAATTATTAACCTTAAAACTTTTAAATTGTCTCCTCAGTCTTGTTCTTGTTTAGCCGCACAGGTTTACGATAGTAACCACATTTCGTGATCAATCGGCCCGCGAATAACTTTGGAGAGTTTACTTTCTCTGCATCTTAACTTTTACTTCTGCAAAACTGCATAAAGGATGTGTAGGGACAGCGCATTCCTAGTAGCAGGTTTAATCACGCTGCACGTCCAGCGTGTACCTGCAGCTTAAATCTCGGCCGTAAGTCTTCTCGTTGTCACTCTGCCTACGTAGCGTTTCCAGAGCTTGTTAATTAGCGTCTGCTTCTTAAAGGCCTGACTTCGATCCCCGCTGTGTGACGTGCTACTTGACATGTGTATATGTGGAAGATTATTATCACGTCTTCATTAACACAGAAACCACTACGTGACGTCACCTAGTAGTCATTTATTGCTCTAGAAACTTTTTTTTTTTTTAATGTAGGCGAGAAAGTGAAATTTAACTCCATAGTACAGAGCCTGATGCACATGTTAACAGTTTAGCCTCTCAAATTTATGTTGTCTTGTTGAATATGTGGTTTGATAGTTCGTTTGTGTGCTGCGGTTTTTATTGAGGTGACTAGGTATGTCAAGAATGAGTTTCAGCTAAAATCTGTGGTAGTGGAGCAACGTTTAACACTGCAATACCAAAGTCTACAAGAAGGAATTTAATAGTTTCTTTTTATATATTACATAGGTATCAAATACAGCTATTTATACGGCCCAAAAATGCTATAGAAATTCCCCGCAACAAATATTGTCTATGCTAAGGCCACTGAAAGAAGTGCCATGATTTTGCTGGCTTCTTGCAAGTCTAATTCTTCGACCCTGAAGTTGGAGGTGGTATGTTG